TTCCGCTAAATGCGGAACCGCGATCGTGCTTTGACAACGGAAGGCTGCGGTTGCGTCGTAGTAAGCGCGTCGGAATAAGCGGGAAAATAAGACTGGAGGCTCCGTTCAAATGGGTGGAAATCATGGAAAACAACAATGATACCGCGGTGTCGTGGCCCTGCCTATAAATAAAGCGAAGAAATAATTGTGATACGGAACGACCTCTCACCACCACGCACCGTGGTCCCCCTTCTTGTCTACCCGGGACGCATCCCTGATGCACTTTTCGCTGCTATCAGCCGATTCTTTCATTCTCTCTCTTCAAGCTTACAGCCGTACGTGAGGGCGCCGACGTTTAAAAATATCGCACGGCAAATTGTCTATCGTCGCGACACAGTCACGCGTGCACTTGACAATCGCAGACTGTTTCGGCGAAACAATTATTTCATAATAATTTGAACGTTTAAGTAGTCTCTAAAACATTTAGAGTGAATCCTTACTCTAAAAAATTAAATCTCAGTCTTAAAGATTGAAAACTGAACCACTCTTTTTTAAGACTGACTCAATTTTCACTCTTTAAATTAAGATTTCTCTCCGAAGAATTTAGAGAGTATCTTTCGCACATTTTCCTATGTTTCTTCAAACTCGATTTTGCCGAAGAACTTTAAAGTAACTGAAAACTTGACACACTCTGTAAGAATTTGATTCGCAAAATATTACGAATTATGTTTGCGTGCGAGGTATTCTTGAAATTGTTTAGAAAAGATACAAGAATCAAGGAGGACGAAAGAGATAATGGTAAAATTTATGATAGCGCAATCCGCAAAACATGGTATCGATTTATTTAACCGACGGTTGCACATCGTTTTTCTGCAAAGTTACAAAGTACATATATATGCAAATAATCACGCGCATCAGCCTTTACTTTTTAATTCGTTAAAATCATTCGTCAAATTATGCTTCCGCGTCCCACCGAAAGTGTACGATTTCTGATCGTGGACAGTCATGGATCGTCTATCTATTCGATGCGTGAGAGGTTGTCAAACTTTTTCTCGCCACACTTTTAGCCACATTTTAAAACACGAAGGGTGTGTTTTCGGTGGCGTGGCGGGATGGGCACGTCCGTAATCGTAAAGTTGACGTGATTAATAATAATTACTCCCCGGGGGTAGATCGGGTAGACGGCGTGACGGGTAGACGGTAGCATCACGGGTAGATGCGAGTCCGCGCGCGCGCGTCAGACGATCGCTGCGAAGGACGGGACAGCTGACGGGTGACAGTGACAGTGACGGTGAATAAAAGCGAGATGAGGGTAGAACGCGGCAAGAGAGAGCGGGTGGGGGATGGTAATCGAATTATTTGAGTGCTCGAAAATGGAGAGCCGCTCGCGGCAAGGTTAATCGCGGCATCCGTCGTGGTACTCTCATAAAACGTTAACGAAAATAAACCTTCACATCCCGGATGGCATCACGCAAATCTCGTCGAATTTTCATGCAAAATTCAGCAAAGTCACAACTGCGCGTAGAGACCTTCCCGTTTCTCTTCGTACGTCGCATATAATCAGAGACGCTGGCAACATTCCGAGGGAATTAATAATTTTGTTACTATAGCGAGTAAATATTGCTTTTCGTTTTATTACTTTTTTGCATCAACATATTTCATTCAATACGATTAATTAATTAATAACTTAATATATTTAATTGTTTCTCAATTAACTACAAACAGTAATGAATATAATGCAAATACATATATACGTATGTATATATGAAGCTATGCCCACTTGTTTTCTGAGCAATGATTGATAGCAAACAGATGATGGTCAATATATATTATAATAACAGTGGCTCAATTAATTTTACCATTGAAATAATTGAATAGTTCATTTTTACAATAATTGAATAATTTTTATTCCGTGACGATCAAAATTATTAAATAAAAAATAATTTTATTCACAGCCACTGTATTATATGTACAATTATAATATATGGTTATAAATTTTAAGTACTTTTAATTTGGAAGAATTGATGTTTTCCGAAACAATTCAATTAATTTTCTTTTTATAATTCTTCGCGTTATTTAAAAGAGGCGTTCGTGCCTCTTTCAGGCATTAGACGTTTAGAAAATGTCCGAGATTCATAAGTTTCATGGAAAACTTCTTACGCGGCGACCAGCGCAGCACGAGGAACCAGTCGAATACCAGGACGGGCGCAGCCGGCTTAGAAGATACGCACAAAGTCGCGGCATCGATATCGATATACGCGGCGAGAGTCGCTGATTGATCGAGAAATCGGGTGAAAAACGTTGCTGTCGTATAACGGTACGATTTGAGGTGGCTTTACCCTTCGTGGAAGCGGTCGGTCTTGCCAAGCGATGGCCTGAATAGAGTCTCCTGGCCCCTGCCGTGTATATAAATCTGCCTCCTGTTGCTCCTTTTTCTTTACTCCTTTTTTTCTTTTACGCGTTATCCGTGTCTCCGTCGTTGATCGATCGAACGATCGATCCGTCGATCTCTCTCCGCGCGCAGACACAGGGAATCCGGGGTCGAGTTTAACATCGGTCATCAGGGTAAATATCGGACGCACGTGCGCGAGCGCCGATCGAGCGCCGCTGCGTTTGATCGGCAAGAAATCCGAGCACGACTCTTCGTCGAGCTCTCTTCCTGATTTATTGCTGATCCCCCTCTTCCTCTGATCGCGAGAACAGCCACGAGCAAACACTGCGCGGGCGTTTGTGAAGTGTTTTTGCGAGCATAGCAACTCGCCGTCCATAGCGAGGTGGATTTTCTAAGTCGGTGGATCTTCTTATTTTGAAAACCGGCCACGTCTTTAAGGTTTTGCCGGTTGTTCTGCGCGATCTCGATGCAGAGTCGCGGTACCAGCTTGTCTCGATCTCGTAGAAGCTGCCGTAATGAGCGAAACGAGTAAAACGTTATCGATAATTAATATACCAAGAAGCAAAAGTTTCGCAATTCCGTTCGCGAAGTGAGATAGATTAGTCTACCCGGCTTTCTTTCTTTTTCCCCTTGATTGCTCTTTGTATAAAATTAAACGAGTCTAAACTCCAAGAAGAGATTGAAGTTTTTATATAGATCAATGTACAGCGCAGAAGATTACGGCATATAAATATTTAAAATGTTACCTTTAATAGAATCGTAAGAAATTAAAGTGTGAAATTCTACTTTGTGACCGTTTTATCTACGAACATTTGCAATCGGAGAAAGCGACCCGAAGGTTGACTCTTCCTTGACTTCCTTATGTCAACGATCGTGTGCTAATTCTATCGCGATTCAATCGGTTGCTGCGAATCGAGGCGATTCTGGTGTACCGGAGACGTGTCCGCGATACCGCCGCGCCGCGCCGTTGTTGGAGCAAAGAGAACAGCGCGTGAATAATAATTGTGTGATCGCGCCGATCTCTCGTGAGCTTTACGTCGATAATATAACATCGGAAATTTTACATCATTAATGAAATTATAATTTTCAAGGAAACGCGCTTTACAACGCATATTAAATTAACTGTGCCGATAAGCTAGAAAAAGAGACACGAAACGCGCGTTTCTCGTTCGATCGGTTGGGAAAGTATCTCAGTTGGTGGAGGAAGTATCGCAAAAGTTGCTCTCTGATAAACTTATTTGAAGGAGCCGCCTGTCGCGACCCGCGATCTACGTGTGTATATACGTGTGTGCCCATACGAGATTATTGCGCATAATTCATGGGCTCTTTCATTCACAAAAAGGCTAAATCGCGCAAAGGCTAACGACGTTACGTCGTTCCGTTATACGACCGATCGTAGAAAGTCGTGAACTGATTAGATTTGTATCCACAATTTGAAACAGTGTTTCTCTAATAAGGCTCGCGCCTCATCGTCAGTGCTTGTGTCCTGTTATCGGTCAATTAGAACTAATTATTTGCCGCAACGGACACATATCAGCCAGACGTGCACTTGAACCACGCACAATGCAGCATCGATAATGAAATGCTCGATCGATCGATTGATGCAATTGCCAATAATTACGTTAATCGCACGATTAATGAAAAGATAACGCAGTGTTTTCAAATAGTCCAACTTTATATCCACTTTACTCCGAATAGCTCGATACATAAATGATTATCGTGCTCATTTTCTGTACCGAGATAACCTTGCATCGACTTAATGAAGCTGTTATCATACACTGCTTCAGCATCTTGATCAATGATACCTAATGCTTTTGCGAACGCAAACGTATTTTTTTACTCCTTTATCTTACTAGGAGCTAAAAAAAGCCGTATAGTTTTGTAACAAATCTTTCATTTTTAGACTCTTTCCAACTATTTCGTGTATTTTCAGTATTCAGTGACGTAAAAGTATTTCGCAACATGCTGAGATTTTAATAATGCGTAAAAGAACAGACAGATATCTCGTTTTTATGCTCACGCAGAATCGCAATGACCACAAAGTTGTATCTTTATAAAAAAGTATTTTTTTCTCTGTATCACCTATGTTGCTTACCATAAACATAAATATTTGTTTAATTTGATGTTTTATTTTTATTTCATTCATACTATATCCAATATAGATAGCACCAAGTGGCCACCGAGCCATTAAACAGCGCAGCGATACTTTATCGAGCTATGCAACATCGTGCATGCAGTATCGACCAGCGAGAATTTTTTCATTCATGAATAATAAATGATGCAACAAGCAATCCGTAGTCGGACCCTGCTTTTTAAAAAAATACAAAAATTCCGTGTAAAATCCATAAGAACTATCGAGAAAGAAACATTTCGCCGTTATGGCATATTTAGCAGACGAAACTATTCACGAGATTGTATCTCCTATTTGGAATTTTCCGACATAATTACACAACGCAGCACTAAATAATCGTACTTACTATATTTAAAAATAACTTATTGAAAATAAGTAATGAATTACAATTACGTTACATTACATAATAAGTATTCTACAGAGGAAATTTTAGAGTTATAATTTTCTAGAATTATATACACACGATTGATGTACATATTGTTAACTTCATGTTTTCAGATCAAAGGCTAAGGCACTCGAAGGGCAGCTTTGAGGTGCTGTACTTCAAGTTTTCCGATAAGGTTGTCCAACATCGTGTTACCAGGGCAGAGTTGTCTCTGTGGATATGGGGTGTGAATCAGGAAGCGGAGCTCGGTGAACCAATTGATCTGGAGAGTCAAGACGCTGGTCCGGTGACGATCACGCTGCAGAGGATCCTTCGAGGAACGACCGAAACAGGCGGAACTTTGCTAGGTCCTCCTCTGACCACGAAACACCCTCGACCGTTTGGGCGGCGAGGTGGCTGGATCACGATCGAGCTCAGACGAATGGTAGCGGAGTGGTTCAAGCATCCGAGAGATAATCTGGGAGTCGCTTTGAAAATCACGGGGCCTGGCGGCAGTCATCGTAGGAACCTGGTCAGATTGGTCGAGACCAATCCCGGTGCGGAATACGCTCCATATCTCGAAGTGCAAATGCAGGAACTCGATTCGCGAAGAGGCTCCAGGATTAAGAGGAACGTGGGACTCAATTGCGATGAGGCCAGTCAGGAGACCAGATGTTGCCGGTACAAGCTCACGGTAGATTTCGAGAAATTCGGCTGGGATTGGATAATCGCACCCAAAAAGTGAGTGCATGATTCTTCCATTTTTTTTTTATTCGTGAAGATTTTACTGAAAAAACATTGAAATTGGAAGTCATATCTTTCTATTCATTTTTATTTATAAAGATCTCTAAAGAATAAATCAAATAGTAAGTAATAAATAAATATACGGTAAAGACATTTCTATTACGTATCAAAAATGACACAGTAGAGTTTTTCTTACGTGAGTCGCATATTGGAGCGACATATTTCGCATTTATTTAACAAAATACTTGAAATATGTACGTGTACTGTCGTGAGAACATATATTGCGACTCACAAAATGATTAATGCATCGTCGGTCAAGCACGTACTCGTAAAGATTTCTCTGGCGAAGGAAAACATTTTGAGCCAAACTGGGTTTAAATGAAGAAACTGCGACTTTCTTGCTGGCACGTAGAACGGTTCTACATCAACAGCGTTAAAATGTTATTCGCGCACGTTCGGTCTATAAATACTTCTTGTTCTACAATGGCGATGTATATTTCAAGTTAATTTGCGTGGTAACATTTAACGATGATGCTTAGTGAGGAATATAACTAACGTGAAGTTGAGATAAATTTTATTTTATAAATTAGCATTATTTGATGAATCTCGAATTTCTGTATTAACGGTCAGTTCCTAAATCTTTGTGTCACAGATACGATGCCAATTACTGCTCGGGTGACTGTCCAATGGCTTTTCTTCCGGCTTATCCGAACACACATATCGTCAGCCTGGCGGAACCGCCGAACAACACCGGGCCATGTTGCGCACCTAGGAAACTGTCCGAAATCACAATGTTGTATTTTGACAACGAATATCAAATCGTGTTCTCACGGTTGCCGGGCATGGTCGTCGAGAAATGCGGGTGTTCATAGTCCACCTTCATTTCTGACAGGACGAAAATAACGTTGGCGACGCCGAGAGTTCCGCACAGGTATCGCGATGCTCTCCCTTTGATCAATTTCGACGATCATCGTTATTGTCAATCGTCGTCAATCGTCATCGATTGTCATCGCCATGTTCTCGGCGATTCCTCATCCGATAGACTGAAAGTGCCTTGTTCGGAGAGTGATTGCGTGATGCGGATCTCTTTGGAGCGCGAAGGAAGGAACACAAAGTACGCGGATAGGCGATATGTAGTGATTCGCGAGAGTCCCCTCAAAGACTGTGCTGGATGCCAAGGGAAGTCCAAAGAGGGACTCGCGCCGTGTCAGCGGGAGGCACCTCGACGGTGGTCCATGGTTCATGGCAAGGCGAATAGTTCCTAGAGAGAGAGAGAGAGAGAGAGAGAGAGAGAGAGAGAGAGAGAGAGAGAGAGATTAGAGAGAGAGAGAGAGAGAGAGAGAGAGAGAGAGAGAGAGAGAGAGAGAGAGTCACGGTATTATTTTTAAGACGCCGATACGTTTACACTTGATCCACGACCCTAATTACGCCCTCGGAATATCTTGAACGCGATTTTCTTATTCGTCTAAGAGATAGTAGAATGGAATATTTAAAACGTTTGTACTTATTGCGCAAGCGTGTTTATTCCCAGAACTCTACAATATGGTTTTATCAACAACAACGCAAAACTTTGTTGAAACTTTCATTATTGCGCCGCGGTTTGCGAGACCAGATAGATTACGAAGGGATGCAATGTGGGCGGTTTGCGTGCCTGATTGTGTTCACGAAATGTTTATAATTCTTGTCTCTCCTATTGCTTTACTTTGAACCAACGCGTCATTAAAACAGAGGACGTCGACGATCGGTGGAAACGTGTTGGACAACAGATCTCGGTGTACAGTAAAATCGTTGTTTTTTTTTTCTAATGTTTTTTTCTCTCTCCCCCCTCGTCTTTCTACAATATTATATATAGAAACGTTTCTGTCATTATGATCGTTTTTTTTTTTTTTAGCGAATTGTGAGAGTGCGTGTGCGAGAGAGCGTATCGAATTATGTAAATAAGTCGTAGCAGGCAAGAATGTGGTGTTGCTTCGCTGACACTCCTACGTCCTGGGAGGATCAACGAGGATATTACTCGTATACTGAGAACCTCAACCTTCCTAGTTTTTCTAACGCGAGTAGTTGTAATATTACACGGCGCCAATATCCGGCTAATCGGAACTTTTTATAACGCGGCAATTGGCAATTTTATATCCACGTTCCCGTCATTCATCATGGTCGTAGAACGAGTGTCGAGCGTTTATTTCTAGATAAATAATAAACATTAATCGCGCGAACGAATGCGCGACGCGCGCCTGATTTTCGTAGCTTTCTTCGTAACTTACGGTATTAATAGCTGCATTTTAGCGCGTCGGGTGATGCACTCGTCAAGAAGGGACGACAACTTTTTTTTGGAATGTGTCCCTTCCTATTCCACGCAGTGTACAATCTAAAAAAGAAAAGATTGTCGAGCGTTTTTAGACAAAATTATTCTAGGGGTATATACCTCGACAAGCGCTCTTATTAGTTTTTATAGATTCATTAGGATCCGTCCCTGATCCTCGGGCATAATCCCTACTAATTATTACGGTGACAGAGAGGATCAGTGCCGCAATTATGTATAGACATATTCCCGACGCTTAAACAATTCCAGTTATGTGTGTAGTGATTGAAACCAATATAATTTCGATAAATTCCAATCTCCGCAGTTAATCGCTTTTAATAATCAAAGCGCCATTTTCCTCTAAACCTATGTAATATCGAGAATTGAACTCGTCGAGATTCTACCGGTTTCAATCCCTCGTTGTATAGCAATCTTCAAAATCCAGGAACATACTTGAAACTTCTCATGCTATCAGAGCTAACACTTAACTCCACGTTTTCCCCTCAGCTTCGAATCAAGTGCACTGTAGCTACATTTTGTAAAATAGTATACGATATATACGATGAACTTGCGCGCACCGTCCCTAAAATTTATATGATTGTAAAGGAAAAAAATCACACGTATCCACACGACATAAAACACACACACAACATATACATACACACACGAATTTATAAAAAAAAAACTTTGCGATTTTTATAAAGCAATCATTTAGAACGTAAGAAAAAACTCCTTGAAAAATCGATTTTTTATAATTTCTCCCCTCCTCTGTCAAGCTGTCCTTGTCTTTCCATTCTTCTTCGATCAATCTTTTCCTCCCTCGTATCTATTTACACTTCCCATTCTCAGTTTGTTTGTCTCAGTGTATCAATAATTAAAAAGATAATGGATTTGCTTATATCCCGCTCCTAAAATAGCGAACGAGGACGGCAGAAAAATGCATACTTATATGTATAATGTGTACTTCCTAGGTAGACACACAGCATAGATAGAAAAATATTTATTCCATGAAATAAATGGTTTTTCGATGAGCACGGAATAATATTTTATTTTTCCTTCTTTCATCATTAAATAATTTATTCAATACTTAATTATATATAGCATTAACCTACATACTTTGTTGAAATATAAAATAAGAAATTAGATTGAACTTTCTATTAACGGTCAAACAACCGTTTAATTGGCTATGATAAAAAATTCATTAAATCAGACTACTTTGCGGTAATTTGTAATGTTTTCATTTTGATTATTTTAATTACTTTAATCGTGTTTTATTTGATTATTTTATTCCACAAATATATGATACGTACATAAAAAAGAAAGTATCGGATCGGAACAAAAGTTTGTAACGCTACAAATTTCAAAATTCAAGCAGCTATAATTTTATTAAAAATGAACAAAATTTATAAATTGAAAAAGTAGTTTTAAAACTTGAACTTTACTTTTGAAATGTCACTCTTCTGAATTTCTGTGAGCTTAACAAATTTTGCATGTAAAAATGCATAAAAACAAACAGCATAAAATAGGAAATTTTCTTCACATTCATCTCGCGAAAATTTTCGACTTTCTAACGTAAAAGCTTAAAGTTTTTCCTATAAAATTGCTTTTTTGTAAATGTTTCTAGGATTTTTTGTTACTGGAGCACATTTTGACTTCGATTGTTTATAACTCCTTTAGTTAAAACTATATTATTATTATTGTCAATTTTTGTTAAACATGTAGGTACAAATAAAATAACGCTACTTTTGTTCCGACTTAATATCAGCTTACTACTTTTACACGTTGTACATTAAATTTATTTTTAAAGTCTGTTTCATGATAAATTTGGTAATATCGTGTACTGTCTTGCAGCAATCAATCTGCATTTTATTAAATCATGTTTCACGACGCGCCTCTCTTTCTTTTTAATCAATGCAAAAGAGAGGCTTACATATAGTGACGATAAACTTTCGGGGCAGAAAATGATTGTTGTTTTGCGATTTCTTTTCGTCCGCCAATTAAAAACCGGTCATGTTTTCGTTGATTTCTGGTACTTCCAGATTAAAGAAAAACATTTTTCGCAATATACGCAAATTAATCATCATATTATATTATTTTTCCAAATTATCGGTGAAAAGTTCCTACATCAAACAATTTTGACGAAATAAATCTTATTTGTAATCGTACTTGTAAGAGTAAAAAAATCATATATAAGTTTTTTATAACGAAAAAAAGGTACGTTTTTACAAATGTCACTTGAAAATTAGTAAGTATAATCATTAATATTTTATAAAATGCTTTTTTATACTTTCTTCTCTCTCTCTCTCTCTCTCTCTCTCTCTCTCTCTCTCTCTCTCTCTCTCTCTCTTTCTCTGTCTTTCTCTTTCTTTTTTTGTTTGACATAATCGTTAAATAAAGGTGAGAAATATGCGCAAAGATGAAAGTAAATATCTTTAAAATCTTTATTTCAACGTTATTAAATAATAAATGTGATAGATAAAAGAATAATAATTAAATAATTTGCAAGAATGTGCAAAATTCAAGATATATTCAAAGTGCATGCAAGCATAGCATGTTACTGTATTGATAATCCCGAAAATTTGACTAACAATAATACATGAGTGTTTCACGCCGTCTGTGTTACGAACCATAAATATAATTATCGTTTACTTATCATTAATGATTACATGATCGACAAATACATTGCTGAAAGTAACATTGAAACATTTTTCATAAATATGTATTCTTATTGTACCAGATTAAAGTGTATACATAGTCTACGTAGATCTGTCAAATATTGATATTGCAATCGATGCAAGTTGTAAATCACGCACTCTTAATTATCTATAATGTGTAACGACTACGATGACACGATAAATAATAAACTCAACGAAAGGTGAGCTTTTTATTTGTTAAATTTTAATGCAATATGCTATCTTAAATTTTACTTTTGTTAAATGTACACAGTTAATTCGTGCTTGTTTACTTGAGCTGCCGCATAAAATTATTCTATTCGCGTGCCGTGTGGTAATAAAACAAACAATGTAAGTACGTGTTTTAAAAACATGTTTATCAAAATTATGTTGTGTTTTATAGATAAATTTATCGACATTTCATAAAATTGTATCAGGGGATAAATAAAATTTATTTTATTTATGGATTCTTTTTTATGCGGTTTACTTTTGTATAGATCATTATAATTGTGTCATGGTCATGGCTTTTACGAGTATGTCGGCTGCGATAACCAAAACAATTGTAACGTGGGATTGAAAGAAGGGCTATATCTTATTTGTCATCAATCGGGTCAAAAAGAGTGCCAAGGAAAAATTTATTTAAGCGAATGGCTCTGCTGTATCAGTAGGAGAAATGCGTTTTATCACGAATGCAATCAAATAATAAAATCACCATAAAGCTTACTTACGATGCTTCCATAATGAATGAGCGTGTAACTTATTTATTAAAGTTGTTACGAGTTGTTTAACTCTCTTTAAAAAAAAATTACACATTTCAACATACATTACCAAACAGATTTGAGCAAAGCGCAAACACATTTAGTAATCAAAAGTAATTAAAAAATTATTAAATAAATTTTTTTTTTAATCAAGAGCATCAATAAATCTACACAAGTTAATTTAATAACGTAATATATATAATAAAGCTTTCACAAATTTTTAAACTAAAAACGTCATATTAAAAAAAAATAATTTCTACATTTTTACTGTTACTTTAAGCATTTTCGGGGGCATGGTATGTCAGTGACATGGTCCGAGCCGCGCTGTTCGGATACATGCGATGATAATTCGTGCATATAATGCGATAGTGAGATGCACGTCCTGGCAAGTCGGCCAGTTGAATTGACGGCAGTCAACTGTTTCGCCAGACGTGCCAATTCTCGTTTTATTGTTTTTCTTCAACGGCGCCTCGAGCACTCGTCCTTGCCGATGGTCGGGTTAGTGCTCCCCTTTCGCCGAAACAGAAATGCCAAAATCGACATTAACC